ACCTTCGGTTCCTTCGGCTCGGGCGACCACCACAAACTCCGAATACATTCGGATTTGCTGACTTCGCCCTCCACCATAAGTGCTCCTCACGCAACAGTTTCGCGGGGCGAAGAAAATTTGACGTTCTGCCCTCCGCATCTTCAGTTGGACACAGGGTTACCCTGCTCGCCTCTGTTCTCATGTGTTGAGACTCGAGACTGGCGGTCTCGCGACGAGTTAGAGGGGCCCGCTGCAGGAGTGTTGGAGACCGGGTGTAACGACTAAGAACGTCATACTCCTGGGGAAGAGGAGCGCTCTCCGGGAACACGTGTTGTGCATTGGGAAGAGGAGACCCAACGCTGGCAGTCTCGCAAAGTGTTGGAGACCGGGGGTAGCGAGTGTGAACGTCATGCTTCGGAGGGTGCGTCCGTGAACACAAACAGCGAGAGTGCAAGAGCTCCGGGGGAAATGAATGCTCTACAGCGGGGAGAGGAGACTCGACACTGGCCGGCTCGGGAAGACGTGAAGGGGCTTCACGCACGAGCGCTGGTGATCGGGATGTCCGAAGAGGTTCAGCACAGTCGGTCGGTTGTGGCCACGGTGCGAGAGGAGGTCGTTAAAGGAGGTCAGTGGACGTTCGTGCAAGCTCCCGTTCTTGGCGACGATGAAGACGAAGAAGAACCCGCGGTGGAAGCTCGGGTTCATGGCGATGAGAAAGGCGGAGAACCCGCGATGGAAGGCGGTGAGGTAACTGTCGGCATCCAGACGGATCCACAACGAAAAGATGGTGATTCTTCGCCCACCCGTTGCGGTGAAGAACAGGGTGGTCGAGCGTCTGTCCTAAGCACCGCTCGGGGAATGGTGCTTCATGAAGCCATAGAGTTTGGTGACGACTCGGCTGCCACCGAGCTGGTTGGCGACTCAGGCGTGGCCGAGATGCAGAACGTCGAATCCTCCGTGGAAGGCGGTGAGGTGGTCGTCAGCATCAAGATAGATCCAGAGCGGAAAGATCATCATTCTCCGTCCACCCGTTGCGGTGCAGAACAGGGTGATCAAGCATTTGTCCTCAGTACCGGTCGGGAAATGGTGCTTCATGTAGCCATCGACTTGCCAAGCGACTCAGCTGCCACTGAGCTGGTTAGCGACACAGCCGTGGCCGAGGTTGAGAACCTCGAATCGTCCGTGGACGTTGGCGCACTGGCGCGACAGGAGGGCGAGTTCCCTCAAAGGGTTCCTGAGCACGGTAAGATTTGTGAATAGGAGCACTCGCATATCTGTCACTAGCCAGCTTTGTATTCGTCCAAATTGATGTCATGGGCTAATGTACCCTTTACCACTTGTTAAAAAAAAGCTTGTGGGTTGTAGGTTGTTTTCTATGTTCTACACGTGTGAGGTTGTCAATGTCCCTGCCCATGAAGCCTGTAAAAACTGTGAGCGAGAAATGTTTTTCAGGGAGGTCATTGGCCGTTTTACCGAACAAGTTGTCAAGTGTAGGGTTGTTTAAAAGGGTCCAGATGCCTCGCCTTTCCCAGAGAGCTGTCAGGGTTCTGAAGGCTTGTGGAATAGATAAGGAGGAAGGTTTGCGGAAACATTTGGCTGCGTCTATTGAAAGCGTTACTGCTTTATCTGATGGGTCTGATGACGATGCCAAACGGGTGAAAGTCGGGGATACAACTTTTCTGGGAAAAGGGCAAACGGTTCTTAACCATTTCGCCCCGGTGATTTTGATCACTCCTCACACTTGTTCGTGGGTGTTTGTGCAGCTGGGGCTACATCATGTTTTCGTGTTCCGTTGCCTACTGAGGAGCTTAGCGCTACAGACTTCAGAATGTTGCGGAACGTCTGTGGAGATTTCAGCAACGACCACGAGGTGGTATCCTCGGTTCGCAAAGGGGTCTATTCAATTCCGTTGAGCAAAAAAAGTCTTCAAACTCTTGTTCAAGGGGCAGATCATCGTCGGGTTCTTGCGATGTCAACTCCCACATGATGACTACCTTGAACAGCGGTAGGATGACCGCTCCACCTCTTCGATGTGGATCTAACGATGGATTGCGTCAAATCTGCTTAAATAGATCCGCATCGGGGATGGGGGACGGGATCCATCCACAGTTTGCTTGTAAGGCATCATATGATGTGTCGATATAACCGACATCCAAAACTGCTTGGTGAGCATCTAGTGCTACGCCAATAAGTTCCAAACACGGCAGCAAAGACCCTAAGAGTGTTCTTTGTCGGGTCCTCACCTCATCGACTCTCAAGAGGACTACAGCCAATAGCGGTAGGATGGGAGGTCCGCCTATCCGATGTGGATCTCACAGTGGAGTGCGAAACTCTGCCCTCAAAGATCCACACCGGGTAGAAGGTCCTGCAAACAGCAGGTGCTTGCTTGTAAGGCATCTTATGATGTGTCGATATGACCGACATCCAGAACTGCTTAGTGAGCATCTAGTGCTACGCCAATATATTCCAAACACGGCAGCAAAGTCCCCTAACAGTGTTCTTTGTCGGGTCCTCACCTCGTCGACTCTCTCTCTCTTTCTCTCTCTCTCTCTCTCTCTCTCTCTCTCTCTCTCTCTCTCTCTCTCTCTCTCTCTCTCTCTCTCTCTCCCCCTCCCCCCCCTTGTGTTTCTGCCTCTGCTCGCCACCGTCCCTAAGAACCCGTCGTTGCAATCTCATATAATGTCTGATGCCCGAAACTTTTTGCTAAAACGGGTCGACAACGGGTATGTCATGGGTGATCGAATCCAGTTGCAATCTCATATGATGCGGTCCGGCTAGCGAACCGGCACGCGAACCGGCGCACTATGAACATAGTATTAAAAATAAAACGTATACACACACACACGAAACAACAAAAAACAACATAACAACAACGAAGTCCGTTCGCCACCTTCCCTAAGAACCCCCGTTGCAATCTCATATAATGTCCAATGCCCGAACCTTTTTGCTAAAAGGGGTCGACAACGGGTATACCATAGGTGATCGAATCCAGTTGCAATCTCATATAATGCGGTCCGGCTCGCGATCCGGCGCACTGGGGGGGGGGAGGGGAAGGGGGCTGAAGTACGTATCCCGCTCACTGCGAACTATGCAATGCCCATAATCAAGCGCACAATTTGCATGTTGATAGGCCCGGAGCACTCGAACAAACCTGGAGTTTATTCTGAGTTACCGAGCGAAGGCCGCTCCAAAACGCTACCGTGAAGATAGCCTACAAGGGAGAACTTCGAACACCGTTGGTGTTTTGGGGTGGTTGGGGTTGGGTGGGGTGTGTGTGTGTGTGTGTGTGTGTGTGTGATGGGTCCAGTACTCCAAGCGATGGCAGTCGATTCATATCACTGCCCATTTAGCAACACTTACAAATGATTGTTTCGATTTATTCTTATTTATGTCGCTCCAACATGAATTCCGACTTTGTTACAAAAAGTGAACAATCAAAAGGTTCACTTTTAACGAAATGTGTATTTCAAGTCTTTCCATGCACGGGCCTATAACTCAGTTGGTTAGAGTATACCCTGATAAGTGTAAAGTCACTCACAAACAACCCGGAGTTTCTGGGGCCCATAACCAGCTTAGGCATATGCTGGAAACTGGGTATAGCATCTCATTCTTTTCTTGTGTCCAGTTCGTCTTCCAAACAATCAAAATTCAAGACCACTATACTCTGAGAGAGGTGGCCACTTCTAGCCTTACAACTTAAGCTTGTGAGCATAATGGTAATAACCCAAACAAAGGGCAGTCGCACAAATATCTCCCAACAATAAGTCTAAAACGGCTCTTTTCCTCAAAGTTCGACAACTAACAGTGTCTTCTAAGTACGGGGACATAACCATGGGCGAAACACCAACTTTCCTTCTTGCACAGACAACAAAAGACTGTACCCCATGTACGAGAAAACCACAGAGGGCCCTTCCTTTGCCAATATGCAATAATGGTATGCCTGATTTGAATTAGGATAAGCCTTTTCTGATTCTCTGGGCAAAGAGGTTCCGCTGTAAAGAGCTTCTTATTGTGGCTCTGCCAGAGAATCCTCATAATGACCCCTCTGCAGACCTGGGCGATATAGCCCCAGCCGAAGTTCAATGAAGAGCACCCATCCGAGCAACCTGAAAGGATTAACGAATCTGACGAGGGGACTACGGAGTCCCCAAGATTTGCCCACTGTTTCCTCCACCATTGCCAGATCAATCGGGAATAAGGGCAGTCCACCCATATATGAGATGAAGTTTCCCAGGCCCACGTGCAAGAGCTACATTGTAGAAAGACTGGCATCCCCCTGGAGGAGAGACACTCTGCAGAGGTGAAGGCCTCCATAGATTGTAACCACACTAGACTTGCTGCCTTCGTCCACCTCCGTTTCAAGGAACAAGATGTAGTGGAACATACGGAGCAACACACGGTCCACTTTCCTCGTCGCGACCATGTCTTTAATTCCAAGTTTATGCTAACGCTTCAGATGCCCGCCTGCGGATTGCACGAACACTCCCCTTAGTGCGAGAATGTCGTCAAGGATCGACAATTTCTGGACATCGGTCATGTCGGCGAGACACTACCAACAGAACATGTCTGGCTCCTTCACGACCACGCAAAACTTGTCGTCCACTTGCATTTTCTTTTTGGTCAGAGGCGGCGGGACTCGGACCAGCCATCCTATCTTCGTTTCACCAGCCGCCCCTTTCGAGCCAATTTCCGGAATGGCTTGCAGACGCGGAGATTTGTCTGGCATGTATTTTCCCGGCCTCAACAATGGCGTCTTGCCGTCGCCGCCCAACAACTTCCCCTCCGCCCATTTCCCGTAGAACTCCATGGCTTTGCGGAAAACGTCATCACCGGCCATCACGAGCGACATCTACTGCCTCAATGCATTGCCAACGGTAGCGATATACTCCTTGTCGGCGTGAGACAAATCTTTTTTTGCCAACGTCCTGTGAGCTTCGTTCGAACTCTTTCCCAAAAGCAGCTTTTGGAATTTGAAGAACGCTCGTTTTTCGGCCTCCTTGCCGGAAGGGTTCCCTTGAAGGGCCACCGGCCTTCCTTCATTCTCCAATGCCTCCCGCATGTCCATGAACGCGGCCTTCTGTAATCGCTGCTTAGACATCTTGTGTCCCGTATTCTCGTTGAGACTGACCTGCCCTATACCCCGCGAAATCTCGGTCAGAGAACCATACTACTCTCGCCGGCCACGAGTGCATCTTCCACAAATCGAATATTGGCTCACCCTCCAACTCCTTCACATCGGCCACGGTGTGTTGTCCGTTAACAGGGTAATAGTCGTATTTGTCCTTGTCCTCTGGCTTGAAGACATATTTTTGAACCCTGTCAGCTTTCTCCGGCCTACGCATCACCGGCTTGTAGATGGGTGTCAGAACCAAAGGGTTTTTCGTCCATATCTTCCCCTTTTTCTCGCGGAATTGACTCACCATCGCAGCCATGATGTCGTCCACAGTTTCGCGATTTAGACTACGGTGGTTGTAATATCTTTCCCAAGGTGGGATGTCGCAGACCTTCCTTGGGTCGATGAGCAGTTGGACGGGGAGCTCCTTCCCCACGATTTCACCGCCATCGTTCCGCTCGTATTCGAGCCAGAACGTTGCCGCTTCGTCGCACTCCTCACCGATAGGCCGTTCGCCACCGCTCGCCGCCTCAACATCCTTCCGCCTTCGAGGTTTCTTCTGGCCATCGCCTTCTTCAGCTGCCACTTTCCGTTTCGATTTCCCCGAAGGTTCTCTCGCGGCCGCAGCGCCTGGATTAGCCGAATCTCCTCCACCCATGGCTTGTCCTTCGCGGATGGTCAAAGCGTCGGGCCTCCTCGCTTTCTTACTTGTCGTCTCACCCTCTTCCTTCGACGGCCTCTTTCCTGAGGCACGTTCTCCGACGTCACCTCCATCCCCGCCCATCACCACCTCCGATTTTCCTCTCATCCTCTTCATGCGGAGGGTTCCCTCCGCCACCTCCTCTAGCACCATCCTCCGTCGCTTGCGCTTCTTCTCCGAAGGAGTCGGCTCCCCGCCAAAGCTTTCGCTGACAACGCCCATCCCTTCAGCCTCATTCCCTCCGACATCTTGCCCCTATCTGCTGGATTCTTTTCTCGTCTCATCTCGAAGCGAATACGTGTTGCCGTCGCAGTGGACCTTGAGGAGTTTGGGAGTACCGACCCGTCGAGTCCCTGTACCCTGAGAATGCAAGTCTGACGTGCTCCCAGGAGCATCCGGGCCGACTTGCGTGCGAACGCTGCGCGCGAGCCCCTTGACCCGACCCCCAGCGTCGTGAATCGCACTCCCGTGCCCCACTGCCGTCCCTGGAGTTTCTTGAGCCAAGCCGGACGAATATCAGAAGCCTAAAAACATGTTCTCGCGGAAGAACCAGACGTTCTTTCGGCACCAACATCGCGAGATCGAGATATTGCTCAGGCGATGGAAGACGCTTGCTGCCATCATCGTAAAGGCCTTTGAAGTGAGAGCACAACGTCATGTTCGAGCCGTACCCCGCGAAACTCTTGATGGTCACAAGCACACCCTTAACACCTCCGGGAGGCAGTTTGCACTCGTCGTACAAGCCATTAGTGTGCAGCTTGAGCAAACCTTCAGGAGTCTTGGCGCACGAGACGATGGTACCGAGAGGAAGAACGTTGACCACTCCCCTAGCGTCTGGAACGCAAGTGGGTCGCATGAAAACCGCTGGCCCAAAATGGTCCCCCTGAACAACAAAGTCAACAAACCATTGTGCTCCTATTGCGTGCATATACTGAGGAATAGATTGCTGAAGAGGTATTCCCTCCCCTGGGGCAGATGGTCGAGCGCTTGTGGATGTGTTCTTTGCGGACGTCATTGTACTCCCACCCGTTGACTAACACGCCCAACCTCAGACCAACTCGGATGACTAATATGCCCAACCTCAGACCACTACAGAAGCGAAGTGCGAACTAACTCGGACTTAAGGAAATGGAGGACGAAAAGGACGTAGGAGATGGGTGTTCGAAATGCACACGAAGTCACAACAATCGGGTGAAGGATAGGAAAGATAGCAGTCCTCTGGCAGAGTGAGTTCAGAAGGAAGACAACAGCTCCACGGAGAGAGTGCGAACGAGCTCGCTGTCGTAGAATCGAGGAAGAGGTGATTTACCTACAGGAAAGTGCGAACTAACTCGGAGTTTTGGGAATGAAGTCGTCTACAACAAGTACCGCATGGGTATCGACAAGGGGGAACCGACGTGCAGTTCTGAGCTGAAGGAAACCGAAGAATGATATTGGTGTTTGAAATGCAAACGAACACAAAACAATTGGGTGGCTGGCAGAGTGAGTTCGGAGGGAAGACGACAACTCTTCGGAAAGATTGCGACCCGACTCACTGCCCTCGAAACGATTAAGATGTGGTTTATCGACAAGTGCGAAGGGTGTCGACATGTGCGAACTAACTCGCAGTTCTGTAGACAAGACAACAATGGCAACCCGCAGTACTAGAGGAAAGTGCGAACTAACTCGGAATTGTGGAACTGAAGACCTGAAAGACGCACGAAACGAGTAAGATGTGGTTTATCGACAAGTGCAAAGGGTGTCGACAAGTGCGAAATTACTCGCAGTTCTGCTGACATGACAACAATTCCAAACCGAAGGACAAGGGGAAAGTACAAACTAACTCAAAATTGTGGAACTGAAGACCTGAAAGCCGCACGCTATGGGTTATCAACTCCTCCAGCAGTGTTGCTCTAAAAGTGCGAACTGACTCGCATTTGTGGAAATAAAGAACTGCCTTTAATTAAATATGTGTCTAACCTTGGGAAAGTTGCGAATTAACTCGCAGTTGTCACTCCTCAAACAATGTGCGTCGCAAACAGGGAACCAACTCGCAATATATCTCTCTCTATATATATATGTATCTTTATCTATATATATATATATATATATAGATATCAGGTTGGCGACCTCACAAGGGACAGGTCAGCAAAAATCGGAAATTGATTCGGTGTTCAGTGTAGCAATATATCTCTCTCTATATATATATGTATCTATATCTATATATATAGATATATATATATAGATATATAAGTATAGATATCAGGTCGGCGACCTCACAAGGGACAGGTGAGCGAAAATTGGGAATTGATTCGGTGTTAAATGTAGAAACTAAGTATTGATTCGGGGTTCGCTATACGCAGTGACGACTACAAGTTGCGAAGGGGATCAAGCAGCTTTACACAAACGTTATCGTGGCTATGGCGAAAGGTAATCGAGTTGCGGAACGCAGATCGGCTATGGCATCCCCGTGTTGTTGTTGTGGATGTCATCGTCCCATAGTCCTTGTCGTTCAAAGTTCTAACGACTGTGACGGTCGCACGGCGGGTGCACTTCGGCCCGTGATGTTTGTAGTTATTTCTCTCGCGTTGGGTATTTTTGTGCTATTTTTTGCAAGCGTTGTTGTATTGTTGTTTGCAGTTATTGACGATTTGTACTTTGTGATGCGTCAGTGATGCGCATGCACAAACAAATGTGTGGACGTATAGAAAAGTGTATTCATACATCGATATATAGATAGACATATAAATAAATAGATAGATAGATAGATACATAGATACATAGATACACAAATAGATAGATAGATAGATAGATAGATAGATAGATAGATAGATAAATAGATAAATAGATAGATAGATAGATAAACAGATAAATAGATAGATAGATAGATAGGTGTGTACAGTAGTATGTGAGGAGAGGTTGCAGGATAGAGAAATTGAGGGTAATGGTATTTTCATTAAAAATGAAATGGTTAGTAAAAAGTGAAATAATGAAATTAACAAATTTGCCAGAAAAGAAGTAAATTTCACAACAAAAGCAGAGGATTTTAGCATCTTATTGACAAATGTTGTACAGTCAAGTATTCAAACAAAAATTGCATATCTGTACCAATACAAGTTTCATGAGTCAACTATTGTATATCTCAACCTTTCATAACATGAATACATCCATTCGATTGCAAAATCCAAGAACAAGAAGTCATATAAGTATAATATCAACCTTACATAATATGGGCACATATTGCAAAATGCAAGACTTAGACAAAGTGTCAAAATGTCGTGAGTGTCGTAATGCACAATGTAAACCTTTGATTGGGCATGGAACATCAGATTTCGAAATGATTGAAATATAAAAACCTTAAAAGAACAGAATGACCTCGTATGTGATCTCGAAAGAAAAATAACAATTTGAAAGCGAAGTGCAGCTGACCCTCCAAAAATCGTGTTTGAAACTACAAACATCCTTAAATGAAAACACGTGCAAAGTTCAATATTAAAAACAATTTAAAAGCAGTGTCACCCATAAACTATTAAAACACAAACCTCAGTTCGAATCCCATTAAACTCGAATGAGCAAATAACTCTACATTTACGCAGGGCTAGGTTATTCGAACTTAGATAATGTCTCAAGGTCATCGACCGAGTAAGAGAAGAAAAATTAAAAGCAAAGCAGAACTGACACTCCGAAAGTAGGCATAAAAAACCTAATAACTTAAATCGACCCAGAGGATAAACTAATGCGATAAAGACAATATTTCAGTCTCTCCTTGCATAAATTGTCCAATCTTCTACAATGATGGTATCATTTTGTCTGTCAAACGCGGGGTCCTTGTACTTTATATTAGTTTCAATTACTTCATATCCGCGCAGTAGGAGACTTCGCAAATATTTGATGGTTGTGTCCACAAGCCCATCCATGAGTGTTTTGAGCGACGGCTGCTTCATGATCCTCCTTCAGAATTTTTCCCGTCCTCGTTCATCGATGTCATCTTAATTGGAAATATTTGCACTTGCATAATAATCATTATGAATAAGGAAATATCCTCTGCATTGACCTCGAACAGTTGCTGCTGCACAAAACAAGGTCATCACGTTGAAATTGTTGTGGTAGAATTGACTGTTAAATAATATAATTTTGGGAAGGGTGCGAGCACTTCTCACGGGTATGTTCTCGTTCCACAGCACCTGCGACCACAGATATGTAGTGATTCTCGAGCATAATGTTCCCAGTCATCCAGTGGGTTATCCACACCTCCGACACTGAGTACTGAACTGTCAAAGATTACTTAAGATGTGAAGAAAATGAGACCTATATCATGCCATATATTTCTTCCCCATAGTACCATATTACTTTGCGGTCATCCAGTCGCCACAAATGGTTGAATCATTCTGCAACACATGAAAATACAGTTTAAATATATATAAATGAACGCTCAGTGACAACTAAATAATGTACCAATACGTGTAAAAGAAATACGATTAACTCTTCTTCAAGACATGTTTGAAGCCTACTTATCTTCATCATCGGGAAGCGAAAGACATGCCAATGCCTTCTCTCTGACCAATTTAGGAATGTGCACTCCGTTTTTCAAATGTTATGTCTTTGATGTCCAACTCTACACAACAAAGTCCACATGTTGTCACTGTTGTGATGTTGTGTTCTCTTTCTTCCATGTTTTCTTCGATGCGTTCGAATATTGCACAGAAAAATGTTTGACAACAGGTTGTGGCACCCAATATTCAATAAGAACATGATTGAAAGTTGGCGACTTCATATCGTTGTCTACATCGGAAATGACTTTACCCAGAACTCCCTCATCGATATCATCTTGAGAAGGACGCAAGAGAACAAATTGACCTTTTTCGATATCTACAACTTGGTTGAGCTCCGCCTTTGGATGCTTATTGGTTGGTCCAACGAACAACGGCTCCTTATTTTCATTGCTCTTCAAGAGAAAGGCAATATCAATATCATCAACATCATCCTTCGTAATTTTGTCCTCCGAGGGCAAGAAGCTAGCCTTGAGTGATGTTTTTGCAAAGTAGGACCCATAATTTTCCTCGACACAAGTGGTTATCGGGTAGCTGAAAATTTAGGAATGAAAATTCTAAAGTGAGAGTTTTTGACAGTATGAAAATCCTGAATGGTCTTGAAGTGGGGAAAGGTCCGAAGACCCTAAAAACCACCTGTTTAGGCAGGTTGCATCCTGAGGTGGTGAAATGTGGCCTGAAGTGGCGAAGTGAGAGTCTTGGACAGTCTGAAAATCCTAAATGGTCCCGAAGTGGTGAAAGGTCTGAAGA